AAATTTATGACAAATTTGGTTCCCAGCGAACACCTAACCATCCAAAATCAAGTGGTAGAATTGACAGAAAAGTACATATATCTCGGTCATGAAATCAAAATAAGCAAGGATAATCATACCTATGAATTTGATTTAAAGAGACATCTTTAAGAGCAATATCCCGATAGCTATGAAATGGAAAATATTTGACCAATGCGTTCTTCCTATTATCACATACGGAGCGAAAACGCTCACTCTCACAAAACCAACGGCACCAAAAATGCGAGTGGCACAAAGGCGCATGGAAAGATCGATTCTCTGCGTGACAAAAAAAGACAAAATAGGGATCCAAGAACAGGAAAAAAACAGGTATCACTGATGTCGTCGAACGTATAACCAAGCTGAAATAGAATTAGGAAGGTTACATAGCGAGACTAAAAGACTCGAGATGGACCAGTAAACTAATTGATTGGCGCGTAAGAGAAGACAAACTCAGCAGAGGACGACCACCAACACGCTGGATGGACGACATTAAACGAATATCCAAGAAATGATAACAAGACACACAGAACCGTGAAGAGTGGCGAAAAATTGGAGAGACCTATGTCCAGCAGTGGACACAAGAGGTTGCATGATGATAATGATATGCGTGCAGGAACTAATAAAGAGGAACTGTAGAGACATATCTACAAAAATTATATCGGATATTCGGGCGGCATTAAGAGCACTAGAGTCGAATCAAATTGACTACAAGTTAGTTTGGAAATTTGCAGAATCTAATTCGGATTGGAAAAAGTAACAAAGAAGATGTACTCTGGCTGGTTGGAGATTCTGGTATTAACAGGAACTAAAGAGCAAATCTACTTTCTAGAGGACTGACAAAAGAAACATTCATAGATCTGGAGCATTGACATAGAAAGAAGCACAATAAAAAGAAGGATATCGAACTGAGTGTAACGAATGAAACGTAAGCACTGGTAAAAATAACTGGGTCTTAAACACTTGAAGCCTTTTTATTTGAAGAATTTTGAGGTACAATAAGAGATACAAAGATCTTCCAAGGTAGTGAAGACATAGGAGGTTTTATACATATTTATAGTGGAGTAGAGAAAGACAAAAGAGCACAAGCAGGGGTATCAATATTGATAAAAAAAGACATAAAGAAAACCTGAAAAGCTGGAAGCAGATCAATGAGAGAATTATTAGAGTATCTATTACGTTGAAAGGGCACGACCTCGAGATCATTGGAATATACGCTCCGTCAGAAAATGCATCAAAAGCAGCTAAACAAATATTCTACGAAACTTTATCGGAACTCATTGAAAATATAAATAGCCGCAAAGAAATTGTGCTGTTGGGAGATTTTAACGCTTGGACAGGAACAAAAATAAATGACAAAGTCGTAGGAAAATATGGTAACGCTAAAACAAATGAAAATGGGGAACACTTAATCGAATTCTGTGAACAGCACTCTATGAAAATCCTAAACGGATTCTACCAACATAAAAACATACATAAGTACACCTGGGTTCAACCAACGAGAAACACAAAGTCAATTATAGATTATGTCATCACAAAACAAGAAACACACATACAAGTTGAAGACATAAGAGTACTAAGAGGACCGGAGTGTGGAACTGACTACTATATGGTAAGATCAAAATGTTACCTACAATATCGACCTCGGCTACTACATCAAAATGACAACCAACTAGCTCAATCAAAACCCCTGGAATCGAATCTACCTAAAAACAATATTGATGCACTGCAAAACGACTCGACATCATTTTTATATAAGCTGCGACTTAGCCAAAAATTGACAAACCTGATCTACTCCTCAGCCCAGAATACCTATAAAGAGATAATCAATAAAATCAATGAAGCAGCTTACGAAGAGCTCGGCACAATCCAAAAGAACAAAAAGAATACTCCATTGTGGTGGACAAATGACATTGCCAATGCAGTACACAACAAGAAACAAGCATATCAAAAGTGGCTGCAAACAAATGATCCAGATGATAGACGAACATATGCAAGATCAAACAGAGAAGTAAAAAAATTAGTAACTAAAGCAAAAAATATTTCCTGGGAAATTAAATTCGAAGAACTGAACAAATATATAGGGTCAACAATGGAAAAACAAGGAATAAGCAAAAAAAATATACAAGCTGTACAACAGCTCTACAAAAATATGACGGCTAACATTAAAACTGGAAATAGATTAACTAGAGAAATTTCTATTAGTAAGGGCCTAAAGCAAGGCTGCTGTATAGCACCCACACTCTTCAAAATTTATCTAAATGAGGCACTCTCACTGTGGAGAAGAAAGTGCTGCAATATGGGCATCCCAATCGGAGATGATAGATTGTACACGATACATTTCGCTGACGACCAAGCCATTCTAGCTGAAGACGAGAGTGATATAAACTACATGCTTAGAAAACTGGAAGATGAGTACACCAAATGGGGCCTCACAATTAATATACAAAAAACTGAGTACTTAGTTGTAGAAGAAAAACCAGAAAGCCTACAAATCGAAATGGGAACTATAAAACCAACAGACAATTTTAAGTACTTGGGAGTCCAAATAACATCAAAAGCAGGAAGTAGCGAAGAAATACATTCCAGGATTGGCCAAGCAAGATCAGCCACCAGACAGCTACACGGACTATTATGGAATAAAAAAATAACAAAATAAAATAAAAGAAGAATTTATAAAACAATAATAGAAAGTATTGGACTGTACGGCGCCGAACTCTGGGAAATAAACCAAAGAAACAAATCAAAAATTAACGCCATGGAAATGAACTGCTGGAGACGATCTTGCCAGCTCATTAGACTTGATAGGGTGAGAAATGAAGATATTCGGAGAGAAATGGAAATCGATCTAGACATAATAGACACAATCGAAGCCAAAAGACTTAACTGGTATGGACACCTTCAGAGAATGCCGGAAAATAGATGGCCAAAAAAATAGAAGTATGGACTCCGCCAACTAGAAGAAAACGAGGTAGACCAAAACGATCCTGGAGAGACTATGTCGAAGATGCAATGACGGCCAGAGATCTAACAACTGAAGATTGTTTCGACAGAAAACGCTGGAAATTAGGATGCGAGAAGCGGCGCCAGCTGTAGAAGACTCGCTTGTTATATATATATAAAGATCTTCTTCTTCTTGCAGTACTGTCTCCTATCGGAGGTTGACTACCATCACAGCAATCTTTACTTTGTTGGCTGCAGCTCTGAACAACTGTATTGCACTGCACCCATACCACTCCTTAAATTTCGCAACCAGGAAATCCTACTACGTCCCACATTTCTCTTTCCCGAGATTTTTCCTTGGATTATGAGTCTAAGCAGAGAGTACTTTTCTCCTCTCATTATGTGGCCTAGATATTCCAGTTTTTTCGTTTGTATGGTTTTTATAACTTCGCATTCCTTCCTCATCTTCAGCAGAACATCTTGATTTGTTACTCGTTCAGTCCATGGTATTTTCCACATTCTCGTGTAACACCACATCTCGAATGCCTCAATGTTTTTGATGTTTATTTTTTTCAGTGTCCAGGCTTCCATGCCATATAGCAGAACGGAGAAAACATAGCATCTTAACATTCTCGTTCTTAAGTTTATATTTATGTCCCGGCTGCATAGGAACTTTTTCATTTTGACAAACGATTGTTTCGCTATCTCTATTCGCCTCTTGATTTCTCTTGTCTGGTCATTAGTATCAGTGAAGCAAACCCCCAAATATTTGTAGAACGTAACTCTTTCAACTAGCTGATTATTTATGGTCAAATTCACATTGATGTATAGCTTGTTTGTTACAATCATGAATTTAAGTCTTTTTGATGTTCAGTTTTAGACCATACTTATTGGTATAAGTGTTTATGTTTTCCATCAAAAACTGTAAATTTGCTAGGTTATCTGTTATTATTAGCGTGTCATCAGCGTATCGTATATTGTTAATTAACTCTCCATTAATGTTCATACCAATGTTTTGCTCTAGGAACGCTTTCTGACATATTGTTTCGCTATATATATTGAATAATAGTGGAGAAAGCACACAACCCTGAGGCACACCTCAAAGAATCTCAATTTCTTCGGTTAACTCATTATCAACTTTGATTTTTGCTGTTTGTCCCCAGTACAACCTGGATATGATGTTAATGTCGCGACTGTCGATGTTTTTGCTTCTTAGGATTTCATACAGCTTTTGGTGTCTGACTTTATCGAAGGCCTTCTCAAAATCTATGAAATCTACGTAAAGGTCTTTGTTTACATCCAAATATCTTTGAATTAACACACTCAGTCCAAACAAAGCTCCCCGTATTCCCAGTTCACCTCTGAATCCAAACTGTGTGGCGCTTATGTCCTCTTCTAATTTATTAAATATTCTTTACTATTCTTTTTACAAAGATGTACTAGATATGAATAAGAATAATCTGCGAATTTTCGTAGGTCTCCTAACAGGACAATGTTGCCTTAAGATGCACATAAATAAAATCAGACACATTCAAAGGATGAAAAGGGATTAAAAATCCTAAATATGAATGACTACATACAGTTATTATATAATAACCTGGCTCAAGAACCTACGCTAATGGTATGGAGTCAGCCCAACAATACTATTTAGATCCGCTGCGGAAAAAATTAAGGTTACACGACTGGTTGTTAATATTCTTAAAGGACAAGACACCTAGAAGAATCTACATATGAATAAAAAAAATTATTCTCATCATATTTTCTTTGTTGTCGTATTTTTAATCTCACTGAAAAGGTTAGTTTTTATTAGTTAGATGTTCACAAATATGTGTTAAAATTTCTATAAGATGATATTTTCTCGTACTATAAAACAAACTATAAATTGTCCGAAAATTTAAATAATAAAAGTTTCTGTAAATAAATGGTCCTCAGTCTTCTATAATAATACAGGCTGTAGTATGTAAATGTAACATTTTTGAGAGGTATACGACTTTATTTTTTTAAGCGCATAATAATCGAATCTTAAGTTACTAATAGAAATGGACACAAACAACATTTGCGCAGCCGACACTTGTCCAGGTAATTTAGCAAACGCGTCGGCATCCTTACTTTTTGCTCTGTTCAATACTCTTACAGCTGCTAAATGTTCTTTGGCATCGCCCGATGATTATCCAAAAGACTATGGGCCATTGTTGAAAGATGGAGATGAGTTTGACTTTATTGTCGTCGGTTCGGGATCCGGTGGATCCGTCGTCGCTAACCAGTTAAGCCAAAATCCGGATTGGAGGGTTCTTGTTTTGGAAGCTGGCGGAATTCCTTCTTCTAACAGTGATGTAAGTAGAGCAAATTTTATTTATGGCATTTATTTACTGCTTCTTCTTCTTCTTTTTCTTTTTCTTCAGCCTGAATTCATCCACTGCTTACCCGCGATCTGTTTGATATCATCTGCGCACCTCTTTTGTGGTCTGCCTACTCCTCGCCTGTTCTTTCTTGGTCTCCAGGTTGTGTCCATCTCTGTGTCCATTTTTCGGGATTATCTCGGACAACATGTCCAATCCATTGCTATTTGAGCCTTGGTATACGTTCTGTGACATCAGTAATCCCTGTTCTTTCACGAATGTCGATATTTCGAATCCTGTCTCTCAAACTAATCCCTAGCACGGCCTTCTCCATTGCTCTTTTGGTTGTATTGAGCTGCTCAGTATTTACTGTTTACCATACAGTTATAAAAGAACCTACTACATCTTTGAATCTCATTCGATAAATTTCGAATTAGGGCAGGAGCACAAATATTTGAAGACTTTAGAGATTTGACAGTTGGTGACTGTGTTCATTCAATTTGTTTTGCCAAACATCATGCCGACATAACGACTTGCCCATCTTAACATCAGAAATAAAATACGCCTTAAAAAATATGAATACCGAAAAAGCCTCTGGACCTGACTACGTTCATAGTAAAATTATACAACTTTTGGAAGAAGACAATTTAGAATTATTATCAAGACTCTTCAACAGCATATACAAGACTGGTACAATTCCACAAGATTGGTTAACGTCTACGTTTGTGCCTATACCTAAATCAAACTACGCAACAAAATGTAATGACTTTCGATTAATAAGTCTCATGCCCCATATACTGAAACTATTTCTAAAAATTATCCATAACAGAATTTACAAAAAATGCGAATAAGATATGGGTCCGGAACAATTTGGCTTCCGAAACGGTATGGGAACTCGAGAAGCTTTATTCAGTTGCATTGTTCTCATGCAAAAGTGTCGCAATCAACAAAAATATGTCGACTTGTGCTTTATAGATTATAAAACGGCTTTTGACAAAGTCAAACACGATCAGCTAATAGAATGCTTGCAAAAAAAGAACCTGGATCCAAACGACATTAATACAATACGTGAACTCTACTGGAACCAAAACACCTCTGTCAGAACTTAAATGGGTGATGCTAAAACCATAAACATCCAAAGAGGAATTAGACAAGGTTGTATACTATCACCATTATTATTCAACTTGTAGTCAGAGGACATCTTTGCACATGCTTTAGATGAAGCACAAGAAGGAATAAAAGACAATGGAAAAAGCGTGAACAATATCAGGCATGCCGATGATACATTACTGATTGCTGGCAGTGAAGAAGAACTACAAATTCTGTTAACCAAAGTAGTGCGAGAAGGAGAACTATACGGCCTTAAGCTGAATGTAAAAAAAACTAAAACAATGGTAATTTCAAAAAAATACACCAGTTATAAACATACTAGTCAACAACAATCTAGTTGAACAAGTGAAAAAGTTTAAGTATCTAGGCTGTTGGATCCATGAAACCTTAGACCAAGAACAAGAGGTTAAATGTAGAATAGAACAGGCTAGAAACACCTTCTTAAAGATGCGACAGTTACTCACTACCCGTAATCTTGATTTGTCCCTACGATACCGCATGATAAAGTAGTATGTATATAGTGTACTATTACACGGCGTGGAAGCTTGGACGTTAACAGTCAGCTCGTTACGACGTTTAGAGAGCTTTGAGATGTGGGTATTTCGTCGTATACTGAAAACTCCAGACCGACCGCGTTAGAAATGAAGAAGTTTTAAGGCGTATGAATAGAGAACGTGAACTAACAGGAATTGCCAAGAAGCGAAAAACGTCTAATCTTAGACACATATTTAAAAACGACAGGTATACCTTCCTTCAACTTATTATAAAAGAGAAAATAGAAGGCAGACGCGGCCCGGGTAGACGACAAATGACTTGGCTGCGCTACATCAAAGATTCGACAGGATTAGACTTTCAAAGTTTAATAAGGAAAGCCCAAAATAGGGAAGACTTTACAAAGGTCATCGCCAACCTTCTCTAAGAAGACGGCACCCAAAGAAGAAGAAGATCAAAACACGTAACACGTAAAGTTTTATCCTCAGTAGCCAATTCTTTGTCCACATCTTTCAATTTTCGGACTGCAACATTGTTAGCTAAGTTTTGATCATATTTATCTTGCAATTTTAATTATATGTCATTATCAGCATCTGTATAACCCGTCCATAGTTGATACTCATATTTTTTGGTTTAAAGAATGCTATATTGAATTCTGAGTTGAAAATTTCACATCATTGCCGTTCACTTGGAACCTGCACTCAATTGGTTCCAATATACTCTTTGTACTTTGTGTACATTTTACTTATATTTAAACCATCTTCCAAATATATTTTCTTTGAATGTTTTCTATTATAATGGGAAGGAACTAATGAAAACAATTTAACATGAGTTCTCACATTTTCCTGAATATCTTCTGCAATTTTATAGGCTTTTACAGTATGGCGTATACTCTTTTCTTAAGTGCCACCTTCTCCATTTTTTTTCTAGGCAGTTGTAATCATCGAGCAAAAAGACAAAAGAGGAAATGTAAAGGTAGTGGGGGCAAAAATATTGTTAGACAGGAAGTGCGATCTTTAGAGGCCACATTAAACAAGGAAAGAGAGTCTCTCTCCTTGTTTGACATCAAATTTCGTTGGGTTATGTTATTGTTTGTCCCAAATGTCACATGAAATCTTGAAGTTTTTTAACAATTGTGTCGCATTTTAGACTATTATCGTTAATAATTAATTAAAACTTTTTCGTCTAAGACACATTCTAAAAAATATTATATAGCTACTGTTAATAAGTGTCGGAAAATTTAAATTTGGCACATTCGAATTTCCGGATATGTCCGCCATCAGAGGCCACTTTTTTGGTCTCCTTTTCATAAGGATTAGATTCCCTCTTTTGTCTTTTTGCTGGATGGTTGTAACCCAGGTTTCCGATATACCCAGCGTGTTTAAAAACATCGTTTTACAAATTTTTATTTTTTTTATTATCAATCTGAAAATTATATTCTCGGGAAAAATTGCGCCTCAGTTTTCTTTATTACCTGTTTCTTTTCTCTTTGATGAACAAATGAACACATTTTGTAATGAAATCCTGTTGTATGGTATGACCTGCTAGTCCCCAATAATTTTCAAAAATTTTTTGCCTCTTGTTTTCCGAAATTTTTTCCGTACATACATTTCTACTATTCTCTTTGAATGGTGCTTTCATAATCCTAGATGGAATTACTTTACCTGCTCTATTTTCATGTTTATTTCCTACATTAAGTTCTTTTTTAGCCTTATTGTCTTTCCACTCATTATGATTTCTTACACGCTTTCTTCCTTTCCTGTTTGTCATTTTTGTTTTTAGTTTAGGTTTATTACTAATGTGTTGTTTTTCACCTTCTGATTCAGCATTGTCATCAGTAGCAACATAATGTGGAGCCTCATCAGAGCAGCCGGAATTTTCGATAAAATGATAGTTGAAAGGACATTGCTTTTCTGCATAATTAATAATTTTATTCAAAACCTTAGTTATCACGATAAAATCACTTTTTATCTTTCCTGTTGGTTTCACGGGTTTTGGTGAAGACAGCTCTGTAACAATTAGAAACAACAGTTAGAACTATATGGCTCCTAAACTATATTTTATATTATTTCTAATATTCATAAGAATCCAGATATAAACAATACCTATTATTAGCTTTTATGATGGCAAAAGGAAATTTGAAGTGATACCAAAGTAATAATATTATTGCTTTGGTATCTATACTTACAAGGGTCAGGTTGTTCACTAATTTTCTTAGATAACTTCAATATACGTTTAATTCTATTCATATTTTAATCTTCAAACATTCTTCACATAAAGCCGAAGCAAATATTTATGTAGGTGCATAACCTCAAAAAGTTATTCACGAAAATGCAAACAAGTCAATAGTAACTTAGAGAAGACACAGCACTATCTAGACCTTTTAACTGTAGTAACTCAATATACGACAAATATTGTTTAAACAATATGATGATTATGCAGCGAAGATTACAATAACTGAAAATACAGTTATCGTTGAAAATGTGTTAGGTTATTTGAGATACTATAAAACTGAGTGTATTTTAAGTTGTCCATACAGCCGCTAGAGTTACCACAATATTCTATGCTACAGCTACATTTCTACAAAAATTGCGTTACTACAGTTTTCGTTGCATGAGTTGATATGTAGAGCTAGATCATGAACAAAATGCAAATACACAATATAAAATAAAATAAAGGAAATTCCAAGTGGTTAGCTGTATACCATAGTTTAAAAAAACTTACAATGAAGTAAAAAAACTTCCTTAAGGTATATTTTTTTACTAAAATTTTAAAATTATCACAAATGGATTTATAAATTTTCACAATCTTTTCGATCCAATTAGATTGCTATCAGTGAAAAACGTCTATGAAGTTGTTGGAAATAGCCACATACTGAGGTCAAATGACCCTTAAATTTAATAATTAGAGAAACGAATATTAAATTTATTAAGACACTAAGTCGATGATAAGGGATTTGTTAAAGGACCGTACAATTACAAAGCTTGAAAAAGGGACCTTAAACCCTAAGATTGCTGAACCTTGGGTTGGGTCCTAAGGGACCTTGCTGAACAACTAAATATATATTGCAACGATTATGGACTAAAAATCAATTTGAAGAAAACCAAGTTCATGGTATTTACAAAAGCACAAAACATCAAAGTTAGGCTAGTACTAGATAATACAGAAATTGAACAAATATCTTCGTACAAATACCTTGGAGCATGGATCACAGAAGATACTGATCAGACAAAAGAAATAAGATGCCGCATTGAAATTGCGCGGTCAACTTTTAATAGAATGAGAAAACTTTTTTGTAATCGCGATATCAATATATCGCTCCGGATAAGAATGCTTCGATGTTATATTTTCTCTACCCTTTTGTATGGAGTTGAAGCTTGGACACTTAAAAAATCCAACATTAAAAACCTAGAAGCATTCGAAATGTGGTGTTATCGACGCATTTTGAAAATATCATGGATGGATCGCAAAACAAACGAACAAGTTCTCGAACAACTAGGAAAACAATGCGAAGTTTTAAATTCCATAAAGATCAGGAAATTGGAATACTTGGGGCACATCATGAGAGGTGAAAAGTACGAACTACTAAGGAATATAGTGCAGGTAAAATCAAGGGTAGAAGAAGCGTAGGAAGACGTAAAATCTCGTGGCTGCGCAATCTCCGTGAGTGGTTTGGATGCAGTTCAATTGAACTATTCAGGCGAGTAACCAATAAAATTATAATTGCCAGAATGATTTCCAATCTCCGATAGGAGTGGAACTTGAAGAAGAAGAAACCCTAAGAAGCAAACCCTGAGAGGCAACAACCAACAGAAAAAAAATACTATTTTACAAAGAAAGTTTTTACTTCATTGTATCTTTTTTTCATTATAAAAAGGATTCTAAAAGAAAATTCCTGGATCAGAAATGGCATATTGCTTCTATGCACCTCTGAAGCACATTACACAACCATTTTATTTTTTTTTAGATCCCAGCTCTCCTGTTTACTGTACAACTATCAGAAGAAGATTGGCAATATAAAACACAACCGACCAAAGGCCCCAAAGGCTCTTGTTTAGGCCTTATCAATAAACAATGCAATTGGCCCAGAGGAAAAATGTTGGGTGGAAGCAGTGCTATGAACGCCATGATATACATCAAAGGAAACAAGAATGATTACAACCAGTGGGCCCAACTGGGAAATCCCGGCTGGGACTGGGAAAGTGTCAAGGATTATTTCACGGAACTGGAAAATGTACAGCCGCCTGAAGATAAGGTCACTCCATTGGGTACGAAGGGGTTGCTGCCAATTACGAAAGTACGGCACAGTAGGTAGATTTATATATGTAAAGTTTATATTTCAGCAAAATCTTTGCTATCGCTATGATGAATTGAAATGCTATATATATATATATATATATATATATATATATATATATATATATATATATATATATATATATATATATATATATATATATATGGCGCAACAATACACAAACAACAGTTTTGACGAACTGTACTGTTGCGCTAAGATTAACATTATTACAAAAATAAATATCAAACTCACCTGGTTTCTGCGTTGAATCGCGTCGAATTTGGGTACACCCAGTTTTAGACTTACTGCCTGAAGACTTCATCAGAGCTTTCGAGGCCTCAGTTTCCTGAGCTTCCAAAACAGTGCACTTATACATTGTTTACAAATACTGATTGGAACAGGGGGCGGACCATTTATATCGTTGATGGTGACGTGGTTCATTGAGTGGGGTTAGGGTTGGAGTTGGCGCAAATATTCTTAACAGCAGGAATTGGATTGGTTGACAGAACGGACGATGTTTTCCTTAGAGGTCTCGATGTCAAAGGTAATTGGGTTATGTCACCCCATTTATTGATCAGACATATATAAGATAATTTGGGGTCTTTCGATCTATATGGCTTCTCGGATAATTCTTCGTTAATAGAATCGGTTGGGGGCTATAGTTGTACAATTTTCAAAATTAATTTTGTAATATGTATTGAGCTTGAGGTGAGAATTGGAATTGCGAACATAAATGGAATGTTCTTAAATGCTATTTTGGATTCTATGACTATTTTAGCTACGTAATATCGTAGACAGACTGAGACAAGCCTTTCTCACGATTATGGATACTATCTAACTTCTTCATTTCTATATTGATTCTGGTCTTTACAGTTATCCTTCTAGGATATTTCATTTTCTTAGCGGTTATTTTTGTTTTGTATTTTTTTTATAATATCTTTAAAACTGTAATATTATTATCCAAATAGAATTATATTTAATGCATCATACATGTGAACCCCATGAGCAGAGGTGAAAGTACAACAAACACATTTTCGAGATAATTGAAGTTAAAGTTCAAAAAATATGATAAGGTCATGTTTTATGTAATTAAATTGTATATAGTATCGGATGCTGATTTAACAATAAATTCCACTTATCTTTATTTTCCAGATTAAAACTAAGTAGGTATTGTATTATGTTGAATAAACATAAAATTGTTTTAAAATTGCATACTATAGTTTTAAAAAACTTCTATGAAGTAAAAACTTTTTTGTATAGTGGTATAAATTAAGAGCTAACTAACAATAAAATTAAAAGAAAATGTGAAATCAGAGAAGCAATAGAAATTTAAAAAAATCTTAACAATCTCAACCAAAGATATGATTAAAAGCTTCCAATAACATGAAAAACGGTGTCAAAGAAGAATACAAAAATAAGTCAGGTAACAAGACCGACGAGTACGACCCCACCTACCGATACACATATAGAGCCAGCCACAAGAAGACTGGGTCAATAAATTTGCTGTACTCTAAGGTATCAGTTTGCTCATCCATCAAAGTGAAGAGATAAGACTTCTTCTGTAGACGCTGACACTGTATAACTCAGTAACGTTACATATAGTACAGTGCTACATTTTGTTTCGCACATTATTTTTAGCGATATCGCACTTATGATTACTTCGTATCAAGGTTCGTGTTGCTGAATGGCCCCTCTACATCGAAATATATTCCGAAATGTACCCAACATCCCATCTTAGTTTCTTAGAATACACTTTCCTGTGTACTTGTTTCTATAGGGAATCTTGCAATATATGGATATGGGCCCTGATGTATTGTTAAGATTGATTATTTTGATTTAATCTTAGTTTATTGAGCCAATAAAATTAATGTAACTTATTTGTTATCAAATGTAAAATAAACTCCTTATATTACCTGTGTTCGATGGATTCAAAAATTTTCTAGTTGTCCTTTAACGGGATAGAGAAGAAGGATAATAATAAAAGAAAATATTATATTACAAAAAAATTACGTTTCTTTATTTTATATGAACGAATAAAACAATTATCAAATTCTGCCGTTATCTTATCAATCAGCATACAAGAAAATAAATGAAATTTTTATAATAATAAGATTTTAAATCTACATTATTTATATTAAGTGAAAACCAATTTTACTTAAATTTTTCTTTACTTGAAACAAGAAACAGCAAAACTTTAAACTTTTGATTAGCCTAACAAAACCTCAGTCCTTAAATTTGAATGCTAATGACCATGATGTCAAACAGATCCTTCACAGATATAAAATTCAATTGTACAAAACACTTACAGCTTATTTTCTTATTGAGTTTTATGTTGGAACATACCCAGAAAAGTCCAGTCTCCTCAACGATGTGATTTCTCCTTTTTGGCACCTAGGCTCCTTCCTAACGTCTCTGCAAACCTGCTGCACTAACCAAAAACACCGGATTCACTTCTCCAAAAACTCAACTACTTATTAATGACACAAGGACATCCTTTTGTCAACTTGATGCCATAAAACTACTTTCACAAATCTTCACAAAATGCCCACGGTAGATACAAGGTAGATACCTCTTTTAATCTAATCTTACTTGCTATCTCCTTCTGCAAAACTATTCAATTCTTTTTACAATGCCGGTATCCAACTCACGAACTACACCCTGTCTTGAGACAAACGACTGTTTCCTTCGATGACCAAATTATATCTAACTTCTCCGGTTCTCCCGATCGGCTCACAAATTCCCATTCAAAAACGACCGTCCAATCAAAAGCTCAAATTGTGTTTACCATGATTTTGGAAAAGCCTAATTTCGGTTTCAGAGAAAAACTAAATAGCTTACTTTAAAATTGGTTTTGTCAATACACAATTTATACATATTTCAAAAGATTAGAATATGGTCATTTATTACCCGATTATACAAACAATGAAAAGATCAACTTACAGGTAAAATGTCTTCTAATTCTAAATAAAGGTTTTTTGATAATTTTGTTGGAAACGGAAAAAGGTCGTTTGCCAAACAAATTTCTATTCTTATATACTCTAAATCTTATCTTAAATTACTATATACAATTTGTTTATACTGATATCTTAAAATTTTATTTCGATGGATCTTTTTATTTATTTTTCTTTGGTTGGGAAAGAAGAAACATAACAGTATCTAACTTTCAACCCATATACCATCTCTAATATACCTATCCGGTTCTTAGGACTACCCAACAAAGTGTTGTATTGTAATTTTTAGTTTAATTAATTAAAAATACTACTTATATTAATCTTTTATATTATTTTAGATAGTCCACTTAGAAAATCAATGAATCAAGGCTTCAATGAACTGGGAGTTCCGTTTCTTAATGAGCAAAATCCCGAAAATCCAATAGGAGCAGTCGATACTCCAATCTGCGTTCATAATGGAATTCGAGCAAACACTGGCAGGAAAATCCTAGGTGCTGTCAAAAGCAGAAAGAATCTTTTTATTAGTATACATTCCATGGTGCACAAAGTAATAATTGATACAGAAACGAAAGCAGCTACTGGAGTAGAAGTTAAAATCGGTGATAGACTTTTACACTTACGAGCGAAGAAAGAAGTTATCGTTTCAGCAGGAGGAATCAACTCACCCCAATTATTAATGCTATCTGGAATTGGTCCAAAACAACATTTGAATGATCTAGGAATCGAAACAATAAAAGATTTGCCTGTAGGAAAGAACCTTCAGGATCACTTGATGTTCATATCGTATGACGTCAAATTTGATGTTAATGCCATTGTACCCATAGATTTGATCGATGCAATATACGAATATTTCAGACATAAAACTGGACCTTTGAGCAACACTGGCCTCACTAACTACTTGAATTTTGTCAATCCACGAAACGACTCAATTTGGCCGAGTATCTCTTACCACAACCTCCTATTATATCCCAATGATGAAATGACTTTTTTTATGGCATACAGAACGCATAATGTTCCAGACGAGTTAATTAAAGAGAAAATTAAGGCTTGCAGGGATAAACCTTGTTTGTCGCATATGTCTGTGTTATTAAATCCAGTGTCAAGGGGTGAGCTCCTTTTAAATACTACAAATGTATACGACCATCCCCTTCTTTATAGTGGATATTTCACTGATGAAGGTGATGAGGATATGCAAGTTATGATAGATTCTATTAGGTGAGTGTTAAAAACTGTAATTTTATTAAGGCTCTTTAGCACTAGTGGATAATAGTAATATATTTAACCCTAGAATACTAACGTACGTAAATTTTACGTACCGATTTTAATCTGACAGCTACTGAAAGAAAACTAGACGTGGCAATGCTTAGCCACGTGGGCTACGCTATCCTCATTTCATGGTCAATAAAACAAATTAATACTCACTCTGATTTCAGTATGGGTTACGCCCGCCGCACACACATCGAGTTTGGACGGTCGATAAAAGTTCGACCGAACAAATTCCTTTGGTGGCGCGAAGAAACAAATGTGAGCGAGCACACACATCGATCGCCAAACGGCACGGCATCGATGTCGTGTGATGGTCGTGTGGCGATCGATGAATGTCACTGCATTCACGGCTGCCGTGGTCGTTGCCGTCGTTTCAAGGCGTATAGTATCAAATGAGCGCGCGCACACACATCGATCTTTATCGACCGGTAAGAGGACCAGCTGCGTTTGTTTGACACTGCTCAAGGTACGTCGGTCCGTGTTGCTACGTGGTTCTATGTTGCTCATTGTGATTTTGTGTACTCCACCTAACCTAACAAACCTTTAGGCTAAGCGCATACACATCGAATTTGGACGGTCGATAAAAGTTCGACTGAACTTTTGTCGATGATGCCTTGTGCGCACACTACACGATATTTATTCGATGACGTTTTTTAATCCATAAAGGTTTGTTAGGTGGAGTACACAAAATCACAATGAGCAACACATAACCACGTATGGCTAACGCTATATGGCTAGAGCTAACGTGGATGTTAGCGATCGCATTTTTCATTAATTCTCTATTTCTTGCAATATGTATCAGATATTGTATGTCGTTAATCCCTGTCCATTGCCTTATGTTTCGGAGCCAGGACATTTTCTTGCGTCCCATTCGGCTCTTGCCTTCAATTTTACCCTCGAATATAAGTTGGAGAAACTGGTATTTTTCATTTCGCATGATGTGACCTAGATACGCCGTTTTCCTTTTCTTGATGGTTTCGAAAAGTTGGCGTTCTTGGTTTATTCTTTTAAGGACATCTATATTTATGATTTTCGCTGTCCATGATATTTTTAGGATATGGCGATAGAGCCACATTTCGAAAGCTTCTAATCTGTTTATATCCTCGTTTTGAGTGTCCAACCTTCTACGCCATATAGCAGCACTGACCACACATAGCACTTAGTAAACCTTAGTCTCAGTTGAAGATCGAACTCTGAACAAGTCAGTACCTTCTTGAATTTTACGAAAGCTTGTCGAGCTTGCTCAATGCGACATTTTACTTCCCTGTCCGATGCCCAGTCTTCAAAAAGCCATGATCCCAGGTATTTAAATTTACTCACTCTTTCAACGGTCTTAGTATTCAGTGTTATGGTGGAGTTTTCAAGTGCATCCAAGTTTCTGGAGATGATCACAAATTTGGTTTTTTTGGTATTAATCTCTAATCCCATTCGCTTACTGTATTCTCCGATTATAGTGACAAGTTGTTGAAGATCGACTATGTTGTCACAAATTAAGACACAATCATCAGCATATCGTATGTTGTTGATCAATACTTCATTCACTTTGATTCCCATCTTTGCATCCTCCAAAGAATCTTGAAATATGGCTTCCGAATAAATATTAAATAAAAGAGGGGAAAGCACACATCCCTGTCGAACGCCCCTTCTTTCTTATATGTATGGGTTTGGATATAGAATTGTCTATTTTTAACTGTGCCGTTTGATGCCAGTACAAGTTTTCAATGCATCTTATGTCTTTTTGGTCTATATCAACTTTCTTGAGGATCTTCATTAACTTGTGGTGTTGGACACGATCAAACGCTTTTTGGTAATCTAAATAGCATAGGAACACATCCTTCTTCTGATCGTTACAATTTTGAACCAGCACCTGTGTTACTACTATTGCTTCTCGTATTCCTAAACCTTGCCTAAACCCGAACTGGGAGTCACTGATGTCCCATTCACATTTTTTGTATAATCTTTGATGTAGTATTTTTAAGAATATCTTTAAAGTGTGACTCATCAAGCTAATGAGTCTGTGATTCTGAATTCATTACGATTTAATAACTTCTTGGCAAGAGAAGAACGTAAAAAAGAAAGTAGTTTTGCTCCAATATCTACAATTTGGAACTTGTTTATTGAAAACTGTGTCAAAAATTATAAAGCTAGTTAATATGTGACAATTGACGAACAACTCCTAGGATTTCGTGGCAGGTGTCCATTTCGCATGTATATGCCAAACAAACCTAGAAAATACGGCATAAAAATACTTATGGTTTGCAATGTGGCTAGAAATATGTAATAAATGCAACACCGTATCTGGGTAAATCTGCTGTAATAAACGGCATTCCTTTAGCAGAACATTTTGTCACAAGCATGACCAGACCTTTACATGGAAGTAGACATAATGTGACAATGGACAACTGGTTTTACAGCATCCGTCTTGCGAATAAATTATCTTCCTTTTACAATTTGACAATGGTCGGGTCCCCATTGTCAAATGGGGTCTCAAATATCTCGGTAGTTAAATAACTGAGGATCTAAATCCAGACATACAGACACGTAGCAGGATTGGGCAAGCCAGAACAGCATTTACTAATATGAGAAACTTGCTAATCAACAGCAGCCTTAACTTAACGCTTTGATATAGCTTTGTAAAATATTACATGTACTCCATACTGCTATATGGTGTAGAAACCTGGACCATAAAGGCCAATGTGATGAACCGATTGGAGGTCTTTGAAATGTGGGTATTAGAAGACTACTTAAAATTCCCTGGATAGATCACACAACAAATGTCAAAGTAATAAATCGAATGGGCAGAAAACGAGAATTGCTGTCAATAATAAAAAGGAAAAAAAACTGCTTATCTGAGTCATATATTTCAAAATTCCAAGTACCAATCCTTAAAGCTTATTATGGAAGAGAAGATAGAAGGAAAACGGGGCATCGGAAGAAAGAAATACTCATTGCTTAAAAACATAAGGGATTGGACAAACCTCGATGCCCATGCACTCTTTAGAGCCACCCAAGATCGAGAGAAGTATGCCAGAATTGTCGCCAACATCCACTAATCGGATAGGGCACCATAAGAAGAAGAAGAAATATCGCAATTATCAGTATGAAACAAATTTAGCTTTCTAATTTAATACTCTTCCATTATTTCAGTTTATTTTAATGATTATGACCAATAACTTCAGAAAATAACATATTTTATTAATTACCTTAAACATTTTAACTTTGATATTAGTGCTCTGATAATAAATATAATTATCAACTCATTACAGTAAATATGGAAAATTAATATTATAGTTCAATGCACAACCTCCAATATAATATTTGATTAGGCAACACCGCATCAACCAACGTCTGTCGTGTCAAATCGTCATCGCTGCAGTTAAATCTACAGTAGAGTCTCGGTTATCCGCCATAAACGGGCCGACGGAAGGGATAAGCTGGAATGGCGGATAATAGGGAGGGTAGAAAATGAAACACAAGTTTGGGGCTATTGTAATAACATTGCAATGGACTTTATTTAAGTGCAATAAAAGTGTAATTATGTACTGTATACTTTATGTATATAATAATATTAACAAGATTAAAATAAAACTAGAATCAGTTCAACATTGACTTACATTGGATATTGTAGACATAATGGTTTAGGGTGAACGAAAAAAACTAGTGATTTTCATCTGTCTTGCTGATGTATCTCGTTGTGTTGCTGCCAAGTCTCGCCATCTCTGTAGCATCATAATATCGACAGCTCTGGCTTCCTCTTGTTGCTTGACGTATTTTATCGCAGCTTCAAAAATTTTTACTCCTTCTTTGTGTGAAACTTTTTGTGGCTCAACAGTCTCTAATTCTTCGATGTCTTCAACACCTTCACTATTAACAACCGTAACAATTTCTTCATCGGTTATTTCATATTGTTCATCCCTTGAAAACCACTCTCCAACATCACCCAAAGACGCATCCTCACATCCAGGGATACGTTTCACTAAGGGCAATATATTTTCCTGAAGTTCATCCAAAGTGTTGTCAGCAGTTCCTTCATCCTCACACAACAGCTTATCCCAGGACTTAGTAATTGTTTGTGCCCCAACCTTATCCCATGCACTTGAGATCCAGTAGGACACATCTTTCAAGTTAATGGCTTTCAATATAGGGATTAAGTCTCGGCCATCGTTCATTTCTTCTATCATGGTCGATAGAAGGATTCTCCGATAGTTTCTTTTCAGCGTCTCCAAAACACCCTGGTCCATAGGTTGACAGATAGCTGTGACATTCGGAGGGAGGAACATGGCCTTTATGTCCCCATCTTTTAGTTCACTTTCATCAGGATGAGTCGGCGCATTATCTAACAGTAAAACTGCTTTTCTTGGTAAATTATTGTCTTTTAGAAACTTCTCTGTTGATGGTACAAAATCCGAGAAGAACCAATCTTTAAAAATGTCACTGCTCATCCACGCACTTTTCTGATTGCAATATTTCACTGGTAGAGCATGTCTTGAAATTCCCTTAAATGCTCTGGGGTTCTTTGCCTTTCCAATCATTGTGAGTTCCATCTTATGGTTTGACGTGGAATTGCTACATGTTAAAATGGTTACTCGCTCTTTGCTGCGTTTATAGCCAGGAGCTGCTGATTCACTTTTAGCTGCAAGACTCTTATTGGGTAACATTTTATAATTAAGGCCTGTTTCATCGCAATTAAATATTTGATCATTTGTTAAATTTTCCGCCTTAATAAATGCTTGAAACGATTTCTTAAATGTAGCCATTCCTTGAAAGTTTGATGATAATTTCTCACCACAAATAGACAGCTGACGAATCCCGTACCGCTTCTTCCAACGGTCTAGCCAGCCGACACTTGCTGTAAAATCTGCCTCACCCTCTTGAAATTGCTTTTGGAAGTGCAATGCCTTTTCTTTTAAGATAGGCCCGGATATAGGCACTCCCTTATCCCTAAAGTG